AAATATGTCCAGTTCCTGGATAAAAACATATACCGTATACCCTTATATAAAAGGTATATATCTGTCGGCAACCTCAACGGACACTTTGCTACTTTTTTGTTCAAGTGAAGGATAAATAAGATATTTTAGTGGCTCATCTAATTCTTTATATTATGTCGTTCACACCCGCACTACTTTATTTTAGTGCCAACATATTTATGCAAATTTCTTTATATTTATTTTTAAGCAAAACTAAACATTTGCGGAAAACTACCAAACGAAGACCCAATTTGCGAATAAAATGCATTATCATTTACATACATCGTTTCAAATAAAATACAAAAATCATAAATGTCTTCATAATATTTATATTATATTTTATTGATTTATTAAAAAATAGATTTGCTTTAGATTTGGAATAGTTTTCGTTAAATGACAATTTAATATATAAATACCCTAGATTTGCTGATAAGAGCATCATTCGTTTCTGTTTAGCAGAAAAAACAAAACAACTTTAGGAATAATCTCCATAAAGAGGATTGAAGCAAGTAGATTCCTAAAATGAAGGTTAGTAACAAAAATCCTCTACGTTAAAGATAATTAAATAAATTAATTGATACTAACGTGGATCTTTGGTATTTCAGTTCTTTGTCTGCACCTTAGCTGTTTTGGTAGCCACATGCTCAGCTGGCTTCATTGGTGGTGGTGGTGATATTGGTGGATATGCTGCAGGATATGATCACCACGAGCATGTTGATGTTAAAACTGTAAAAGTTATCCCAGTTAGTGGGCATAGCCATGACTATGGTCACGGATATGGACATGGTCATGGAGATGTTCATGTCAAAACAGTCAAAGTCATTCATGCTGAACCCCAACCGCAACCTGAAGTGAAAATTGTCAAAGTCATCAAAGAACATGATCACGGACATGGATATGCTCATGGACATGGTCATGGTGGTTATCATGTCCATAACATTAAGGTTATCCATGCTGATCATCATGATCATGGACACGGTCATGGAGGTTATGGTCATGGTGGTGCTGAAGTTAAAATCGTGAAAGTAATCAATGCCGGAGCTGGTGGTCATGGCGGCTGGAATAATGGCTGGAATGGTTGGCAATAAAGCTCAGAGCAGTGATGTAAATAGCACTTTCCATTTTTATCCTGCCAATCAACCGATATCACTGTACATTTCACCCATTAGTTTAAGAAAAATAAATTATATTTAAATCTACAAATATTGGTGTGTTTTGTTGTTTATTATTGTCTAGGATTGATTTATTATAAGGACTTCTATGGGTTGATTATTACTGATATACATTGAAAATATTGAGGGTTGATGTAGGCGTTCTATAAATGGAAGAGTAAGACATACATATAACGAGAAATCAAATTGATCATGTTGTGATAGACGGAAGGCATTCATCCAGTGTTTTAGACGTCCGATCGAGAAAAACGTGAGCGTGAGCAAATCGAGATGTACAGGAGTCAGAATGAAGTCCGGAAATTTTACCAACGAGTAAAACACCAAACCGAAGGCTTTGGTGCAGGCACATCCTCCTGTAGAGATGAAGAGGGAAACCTGGTGACAGATACAGATAGCGTGTTGAAGATCTGGAAGGAGCACTTCGAAAAGCTACTAGTATCAAATAGTGGCGATGAAGAAGATACCCCAGAACCAATAAGAGATGATGGTATAGAGTGTATACCACCTAGCCAAGATGAGGTCATAAAAGCAATTAATCGGCTCAAGAACAACAAAGCAGCAGGAGCCGATGGGTTACCAGCCGAACTATTCAAGACTGGTGGCCAGATGCTGGTCAGGAGCATGCACCAGCTGATTAACACAATTTGGCTAGATGAATGCATGCCCAATGATTGGAACCTCAGCATCCTGTGTCCCGTGCACAAAAAAGGAGACAAGACGATATGTGCCAACTATAGAGGAATAAGTCTCCTTCCCATCGCATATAAAGTGTTATCCAGTGTGCTGTGTGAACGATTGAAGCCAATGGTCAATGACATCATCGGACCATACCAATGCGGCTTCAGACCTGGCAAATCCACCATTGACCAGATTTTCACTCTGCGCCAAATCCTGGAAAAGACCCGCGAAAAACACATCGACACATACCACCTATTTGTCGACTATAAAGCCGCATTCGACAGCCCTATCCGTTCAGAGGTGTTTAAAGCCATGTCTGCGTTCGGCATTTCTGCAAAATTAATACGGCTATGCAGGGTAACTTTAAGTGGCACAAGGTCAGCCGTTAAAGTAGGAAAGGACCTATCGGAGCCCTTCAATACCGAACGAGGATTCAGACAAGGTGACAGTTTGTCGTGTGATCTTTTTAACATCCTACTGGAAAAGGTCATACGAGAGGCAAAAGGGAACAGAAATGGCACTCTGTACACCAAAAAACATCAGTTACTCGCCTACGCCGATGACATCGATATAATGGGTCGAAAATTGCGAGCGGTAACAGCCACCTTTGAACAAATTGAAAAGGAGTCTGCCAAAGTGGGTCTGGCAGTAAACGGCGAGAAGACCAAGCTGATGGTATCAACGCGCAAGACGTCCAGTAGACACGGACCAACTGTGGAACTTGAGAACTACAGTTTCGAGGTAGTTAAAGACTTTATATACCTTGGTACCGCCATAAATAAAACGAATAATATCAGTTTTGAAATTCGGAGAAGGATTGTGATGGCCAACAGATGCTACTATGGTCTAAGTAAGCAGTTTAGAAACAAGGCCACCTCTCGCCAGACCAAACTCACACTTTACAGGACGCTGATACTACCCGTGCTATTATATGGATCAGAAGCATGGGTACTTGCGCAAGCAGATGAGGCAGCGCTTGGGGTGTTTGAGAGAAAAATTCTCTGAAAGATCTACGGGCCGATCTGCGTCGACGGTGAATGTCGGCGTCGAATGAACCACGAGCTCTACAATTTATACGCGGACATCGACATAGTCAGTCGTATTGAGCTGCAGCGACTACGGTGGCTAGGCCATGTTGTGCGGATGAATGAAGATGCCCCAGCTCAAAAGGCATATAAAAATGAGCCTACTGATGGTTCCCGTAGAAGGGGAAGGCCACGAATTAGATGGAAAGACCAAGTAGAAAACAACATCTTGGAATGTGGTCTTCCAAATTGGTGGACTTGCGCACAAGACCGACGCGCTTGGAAATCTTTTTTAAGCTCGGCATATGGAACAACCGTTCTGTGACAAGCCAGCTAAGTAAGTAAGACATATTTTGAATTTTGATCGCCCATAAATAATGGGACCTCAACTTCGAAAAATTATTGTCAGTGATTCCAAATGAGCCTAGACGCAGGAATAAAATTTTAGTATAAATACTTCTGTGGGTGTTAAAGGCTTTTCCAATTGTTGGATTCTTCTAGAAGAAAAAGGCGTAATTTTAATATTTTTGAACTGACAAAAATGAGCTGTTGTGAAAATTACGCTTTACCTTTTTGTGTGGGCTACGTAAAACATGGACTTATATTGAAAATTTTCTATGAAGAAATTGTTTACCCACCAAAGTCATAGGTTGCAAAATTACAGCCATTTCGCAGCATAGTGTACTCACTTTGTTTGGAAAATGCGTGTGGGACTATCAAATACCTTTAAAGGGGATGGAAATTAATATGAGGGCTATAGCCATACATTGACCAATATTTACAATTTTTGTTAAAAAGATTTGCCACTCAGTGCCAACTCAAAACATCAAATTAGAGTCAATTCGTCTAAAATTCGTCAATTGTCTAAAATTCTCAAAATATTGAAAATTGGGTGAGCTGTTATATATATGCTATACCAAAACATGATAATTGTTGATAAGACGATTTTCACCCAAATAAACGACGAAGACTATGCAAAAACGGGGCCGACTATATGATACCCTTCACCACTTTTGGTGCATACAAGAGATGCTCATATGTACAATATCACTTAGATAGAATAAACATAGCATATTTGGTGACAATTGAAATGGAATCTGACGAAATTAACTGCGTAGAGTTATAGATATTTGAACTAAATTAAAACAACCCATACACATACCAATCTGAAATTTATGATCAATTTAATGTCAATCATAGAGCAAAATATGTATGAGAGCTATATATAAATGGACGTATTTGAGCAACTGTGGCATTTGGTATGCTGCAGCACAGTGCGCTATCCAAAATTTATCTCGACACAAAATCCAATATACGTTATTCCAGAATCGATTTGGTATGTTGTGCACTAATTCGCCCTTAGCGGACAAACTGTGTTATTTGGGACATAATTTTGATGAAATCGGATGATGCAATACGCTATGCAATATTTCAGTTAAAGCGACCAGACATAGGCTCCTCCATTTGTACCATTTGTATAAGATCGGACAAAATTATATGAAGCGATTTCAACAACAAAATATCGTGCGAATAGAGCAGGATATATGGTGCGCCATTTACATAAAATCGGACGAAAATATATATGGGAGATATATCTAAATCTGAACCTATTTCAAAAAAGCTTCACGGATGTCAACCTGTAGTAACTTCAGTAAGCTGTGCAAAATTCTGTCTCCATCGGACAAATATTGGTAGTATGCATGGTACAATTATAAAAGGTAACAGCAAATCCCAGCTGATTTGATTCCAACGTAATACTAGTGTCAATATGAATTTGACAAATTATGGTTTTAAAAATCACCCAACAGGAAAATTGGGAACTCATACAATTTGAAATTGTTCTTTATTAAATGTGCTCTTGTATTCAATTTACTCAATCTGTCTGCTGGGAAAGTTTGAGGAAGCAAATCTTTCTTCAAGGAATAACTCGCTATTCCCAGCATTTTCATATGTGTTACACATATATATGCCAATGGCTCAATTATAGGAAAAATGTGGAAGCGATAGAAATATAAATTTGATACATTTCCATTCATGTTTTTCAATTTTTATTTTGAGGATTCGAAAATATTTCATTTTCAAAATAAAAATAATTTGTTGATAATTTGTTTGTTTGTTTACATTTTTCTGTCAAATGAGTTGACACTAGTAGAACTTACAACAACAAATTTCCATGTGGTTGTTGTATCGTTTTTTGTACAACAACACTTGCTGTTACCTTCTATTATTATACCATGGGTAGTATGGTGCTCAATTTACATAAAAACGGACGAATATATATATATGGGAGCTATATCTAAATCTGAACCGATTTCAACAAAACTTCACGGACGTCAACCTGCAGCAATTTCAATATGGTTGTCAACCTGTAGTAACTTCAATACGCTATGCAAAATTTTGTCTCAATCGGACAAACTTTGACAGTATGGTGCACCATTTATGTAAAATCGGAGGAAAATATATATGGGAGTTATATCTAAATCTGAACCGTTTCCAACAAAACTTCGCATACATAAATTTGGACTTAATTTAGTACGCTGTGCAGAAGTTTGTGACAATCTGGCTAAATTTGACTCTTTGGAGTTCCATTTACATAAAATCCGACGAAACTATATATGTGAGCTATATCTAAATCTGAACCGATTTTAACAAAACATACATCAATCTAAACCTAATTCACTATATATGGGAAAACTATATATGGGAGCTATATCCGGACTCTGAATGTGATTCTATGCATATTCTCAAAAAGAACCATGGGTCTATCTCGATTCCTTTTGTCAGTTACAAGCATATGCACAAAGCCCAGTGAGCGAAGCAGTGTAGTTGGACGGGGCCGATCATATGGAGGGTATCATAACAACTTATCATATCATAACACCTTACACGAAAATCTAACTTTCTGTGGATCTATGTTCTGAGCTTGGGCAATATATACGAATATGTAAGCACCTACAAATATTTAAGTGTAACTCCCACATCCGAGTACATACGACAATATAATTGGTATAAATTTAACGGTCTACCACTCCTCTTGGATATACTATCAACTTCTCGGGTCTATGTCCTTCAGGGGTAAATATATACGCTGTAGAATACAAATTTTATCATTTAACACACAAAAGTCAAGGTCCGTTTGACCCGCTAAATATTGACCAATCCTTATCAAAACAGTCATGCTTATTTGGCCTGATCCTCTTCTTCATGTAAAAA